GGGAACACGTTGTGCCATTTTTGCGAGTTCACGGTGCATTGCAGGGATCTACGTCGTGTGCAAGTCCAGTCTTATCCGCAATACACCTCTTGTAGTTGATGTCACGCTGTTGTCTGCGCCTCACTGATCTCTATCCTTTTTAGGGCATCGTTGTCGCTGCAGGGTCAGTCGCTGCGCTTAGGGCAATTTACCGACCACATCCCTCAGAGGACTTCTCCCTCAATAACCCTAAACCACCATGGCTATTTCTATAGTGTCCTGCCACGGCATGACATACTGAAAACTTCGCCCTAACCCAAAAACAGCGTTAACGGCTTTGACGTGTAGGGAAGTGGGGTACGGGAGATGAAATTCCAACTACCAGACTTGGGGAAGCAAAACGTAGATAACCATCCCTCTAACAACCGTTTGCACACCCTCCAGGGGTAATAGAATGCAACTACAGGAATGCGTTGGATAAAAGAATAGCAGCAGAAGTAAGCAGTCTTTTAGTCATTTTCAGCCAAAATTCAGCCGAGAGTCGAAGGGAACGTACATGTATCAAATGATTCCATTACTAAGCTCGCAAACTCGCGGTCGAAATTTCCTTCCCACATTTGCAAGTTAACATCTTCAATAACTCGAAAAATGCTTAGAATTTTGAACGTACCAAAGTATTGACCGTCTTGGTTGCTTTTCCGAAGTCGGTCGAACATCCGGTGTGCAGGTGCTGTCGTTGGACAACGGCTGTATGGAATACGCCACGATCATCCACGAGATGATGCATGTCGTCGGATTTTATCACGAGCATGGCAGTAGGGATGAGAAGAGACAATAATCTGGAGATATCAAAACATCAAACAGGTTGTCACTAATGGCGCTTTACCAGGCACCGCGATTGTTCAGTCAGTCTCGTGCTTCAGAAATCAATAATAATAAAAATAAGGGCGCCCACGTCTTTGGAGAGGGGGGGCATTCAAAACAGGGCCGATGGTAGGTGCTACTAAGACTGAAGCCCAGGAGAGGGAAAAAACGCCAAGGAGAACACAATGGCTCACATCCTTCATCAGAATCCCTTTCCTCTCTGAGCCTCAGTCCCAAGCGCTGTAAATTGCTCACTCACTTGAATATCCCTTCCCAATCCAATGAAATGGGTGTCGAAGGAAGTACTTAAACATTCTAATCAGTGGAGAAAAGGAAAGAAAATACAGCCCAATTGTACTAAGATTCCGCCATCCACGACGGAAGCCGCATAATTGCCAAAAAAACAGTTGTTCATCTTACGTACATCTTATGGTGACTAAAAAAACGAACTCTCGGAAAATGTAAAGGATGCACGCCCAACTCAAGAGTGCAGTCTGTGCAAATTTCGTGGAAACTTAACATAAAAATTGTAAATTGATTGAAGTGTCACTGGAAGTACAGAAACGTGATAACAACAAAAGAATACGCACAGGAGCCAGGATTTGCTGGACAACTCTGTGTGCCTTTATCGTACTATTCAATGCAGTGAAACCTTTAAAGTTCCGGACGCTTCATTTGAAGTGGCCATGTTCCAACTGAATTGTGTACCTGTAACACTTGTTCCGTGAATATATAAAACTAAACGCATCGATAACCACTACAATACTACGTTAACTTACTTGAGAATAGCAATTAAAGGTTAACTTGATCATAAA